CCCCCCAATAATGAGATGGGATTTACTCCCTTGGGCCCATCTTTTAGCTTATCACACCCATATTGATGTGTCAAACTACAGACAGGAAAGACTTCATCTGGACTGACAGATATTCTTTAAAACGCATTTTGAGATCTATTAATTTACACCTTTATTTATGTACACAAAAAACAGCATTATGTACTTTTGCATTCCAAAAGTACATAAGTACAAGTTATACCTGGCATATAGACTAGCCAGATATAACTTGAATACCCAACTTTGAACATTTATTGTTTAAAACAGGACATTATATTATTTTTATCAATCGATTTTTGATTAAGGGAAACCCCCAAGATGTCTCTGGGTGAGTTAAAGGTGACAAATGTCGGGATTTCCCGTTATCAGCTGATGTCTTGCCACGTGACCTTCACGTTAGAGTTTCGCTGATATATATAGCATGTTGATGGACGTTCACCAGACGCTCAGTCGCTGTGGGAGGCGCTGTTCACTGTCAGATCTACGCTCTGGTCTTTAACGCAATATAGAGGAAACGGAAACCTTTGTGAAAAACCCAAGTCACCGTTCTCTGAAGTTGGCAGTGTTCACAATGATCTAAACAGGAAGTGAAGCTGCACAATTTCACAACAAATGCTAACAATTTTTTTTTTCTCTACGGATTAGCAAAGGTTCCAGGTTCGGGGAATCGAACCCAGGACGGTCCTCTGAATAATGGGGGCTCGCTCTACCTCTACAGCACGCAGCACCCAGCACCCCAAGTATTAGCATTCCTGTGAGTGTGAATTTGGTATTTTATTTTGAAAGTCTCAAACGGAAACCACTATAGTTTTGTCGCTCAGGAAGGAACTTTACGATTTCACCAACCAGCCTCGGCAACAGAGGCTTGGTTGACTCATTTCGGCCCTTTTCTGAGTCTCTCCGTGTTGTCAGAACGAATAGTTGTGTTGAGATTCGGTTCGACAGCTGGAAGCAGGTGAGTTAAACCCTTTAAACTTGTTTAGCTTTGTTGTGACGCAGTTTGGCTTTACTCAAACCACACCGCGTGTTTCACTTAGAGCTAACTTTTTTTTTTGGTGTTTAACTGAAAGTTGCAAACATGTTAGGCTGACCTAATTAAAGTGAAAGTAACATATCGTTTCCCAGTGAAATAAAATCAGAAAATTATGGCATTTATTTATTTTATCGCCGCAGAGGGTTTTTGTATGGCTACAATTTAAATACTGCTCGTTTTAAGTAGCTTCATCCAGTTGGTGTTTTTACTGCGGCGTCATAAGGAAGTTATGCATATACACTGATTGTTTACAGTGACATAATTGGTTGAATACTCTGTTGGGACCCGTTTGCTTATTTATTGTTCATTTTTGTCAAGCCAGTTGACGATTATGCCAGCTCTTGCTTCTGTTATTGTAAGAAATGTGTCTCGATCAGCTGATTAGGTCATCTGAGCTGAGTCACTTAATCAGGGCGATGATGTTTTACATTATTCACTTACAAAACGCCATTGTAAACTTGTTAAACGCCAACATTTATAGGTAGAACAAATCTTGAAAACGTGTAAGAAAAATAACCTCGAGTGCTTAAACAGGCACATGTTTCGTGCATCATCAATAGCACCGTCATTATACCAAAAGTCTTACTTTGCACTCATGATGTGACATATTTTGTACAATTCAATTAAAAAGCAAATAAATCGGCTAGAGGAAAAAAGGTTTTGGAAAATAATAAGCTGCAGCTTGATTATGTAAGTGTTCACACGCTTAAACCGCATTCAGTCTTGTTAGGTTGCTA